TGCCTATGAGGCTCAGGGGACGTCCCCATAGAACCCCAGGTCAGTGCTTGGCCACCCTCTTTGGCTTGCTATGTCTGTGGCCAGAGTCATGCTCTGAAGATGGGTCAGAGCCACCTTGGGTCTCTTGCACCAGCAGGTGCCTGGATGTGGTGAGGTCAGACCCTAGTCCCACTCCCCGAGGAGACAACAGGAGAACAGCCGAGGAACTGAAATCCCGTCAGACAGTGTGACTTGGAGTCTAGAACTGTCCTTCCTGCTTGTGGGAACCGCAGAACTCCAGGACTCTGCTCAGATGTCATTCAGGAACTGCCCCAGGCTGGACCCGTGGCCGACGGCAGAGTCAGACCTGGCTGTCCCTTCCTGTGTCCCCAGAGCTGTGCGGGGAGGACGCCTGGGCATCTGCTGCTGGTTTTGTGTGTTTTTCGGGGAAACCAGCGTGGACAGTGTTAAGCCATTTCAAAGCCAAGTGGATATAATTTCCATAACTATCTGTTTCTAATTTAAGCCTATTTAAAATTTGAGGGCCCCTCTCTTGCTAATTTATTATGGCAATATTAATTAACGGTTTTGCATTACGGCGGTTAGGACGCCACTCCTATTGAGTGAGAGAGATTAGCAGGAGTACGAGATCAGAAAAACCATCTGTAAAGTGGCCAGGGGCAGCTGGGGGTCACCTTGGGGTTTGGGAGAAGGATGGCGCGTTTGTGCAAACATGCTATTAGCATCCTACAGCACAGCTGTGGAGAAGGCAGCAACAGTCCCCCCGGCCTCATTCTGCAGCTAATTCTGGGGGCAGATTCCATGAAATGGGGCTGTGCACTCGAGCTCTGATCCAAACTCGCTGTTAAAGTTTCCTTTCCATTGTGTCATAAATTCCCATGGTTTCTCCTCTCCTCAGTGTAGTGACACATGCAGGAGCAGAGCTGGGCTGGTCACTTTCCCGCAAGGATCCCTGGAGGGCGCGGTCCCAGCAAAGGCCCCACATGAACAGGCGGAAGTTGCTCCCTCTCTTACTCTATGGCAAAGACAAATCTTTGAGACACATCAAAACAAAACAAAACAAAGGGGATCATTGAGTGTGAAAGAGAAGCTCACGTAATCAGTCACCGTGCTTGTTTTCACCCCAGGGGCTGTTTCCTGAGACCATGCTGACATTACCCACTCTCCTTGTAAGGCCTGCTCCTGTCCACCATGGGAGGCGATGGGAGAGATGCCCTTCTGATGGGATCTAGTGCTTTTATGAATTCAACTCTTTTCATGCTAGGGGTGGGAAGTGAAGGCCGAAGAGAGAGAGAGATTTTGTGATTTTATCTTTTTTTATGATAATGCTTCCAGGGAATGAGCATTGAGAAATCATCCTTGACTTCTGATGGGGTTGGGTCCCGATAAACCTATTGTAAATGGAAAATATCCTTAAGTCAAAAATGCATTTAATACCCCTAACCTTGACCGTCCCAGTGTAGGCTCGCCGACCTGAAACGTGCTCAGAACACTTACATCAGCCCGCGGTTGGGACAAATCCTCTCCCACGAAGCCTACTTGATAACCCGGTGTTGACAGTCTCACGCAGTGTATCGAATACGGCGCTCACCGTGAAGAGCAGACAGTGGGTATGGGTGTGGGACTGTTGTCCGTGGATCCGCTGTTACTTCCGTGATCACGGGGCTGACAGGGAGCCGCTCATGAGGCAAGATCATCCCACTGGCCACTAGCCCGGGACAAGGCCCAAACTCAAAACTCAGAGAATGGCTTCTACTGAATGCGTATCACTTTTGCACCATCGTAAACCTTAGACATTGTCGAGTTGAACTACCTTAAGTTGGGGACCATCTGTAGATCCTGACATGGCCTTGTTATCACGAGTATCTTGTAAGCTAGAGGAGTCCTGCCCTGAGAAGGTGTACCAAGTGGAGCCTAGGAAAATGGGCCAGCTACCTCCTGGTCTGTGTCGATGATTCTTATCAACTGATATTTGCAGATGCACAGCCTGCACACTTGTGAGTGTTACAGACCCCCTCTCAGGTCTGTACCTGATAATAAAGTCTTGGTCTCAGCCTTCTGGATAAGAGACCCAAAGCCAGATCTCGGGAAAGTGAAGGAACAAAACTAGCCCAGTTCTGAGAAACACCCCCGATAAAGGAATTGGTGAAAATCAGATCCTAGAGAAATCAATACCTACGATTTTAATTGTCACTGAGCATATTGTTCTTTAGAACTTCCTCCTTCAAACTAGAAGTGGAAGCAAGTGCGTGCAATTTGCCTTCCCTGGTGGGGAGTGACACTCAGCCTGGAGGAGTTGATGTCCCGCACCCCCAGCAAAGTTGATACTTGGGTGACCAGCACAGCATAGGGGCCACTCCGGACAGGCTCCCCGCAGGTCTTCAGCTGCAGGTGCTGGGGAGGTTGCGCTCACCCAGACTAGTCTTCAGGACAGAGTGAGCGTCCGGTGCGCCCTGCCAGGCCTGCATGGTCCTGCTCTCCAGGCTGAACGGTGCAGGTGAGCTGACCACCCATGTGGAAGTCAGAACTGCGGGGGTCCCGCTCCATGCCCCAGCACCCCACCAAAGTGGGGCCCACAGCGGTGTTAAATACGCACCCCACATGGCTCTGTGTGCCGTCACGTCTGAATCTTTCCTTCAGTGTGTATCACTTACAGAGGGAGCTTCCAGCCGAGAACACTCTGGGTTTGTTCACGGCAGGTGGAGCCTTTGGTGAAAGCCTTAGAGACGCTGCTTCTGTGGCCCACCACACTCTTGGTTTGTCACCCACTCGCTAAGGCCACCCTGCGTGGGGCGGACCCGGAGTCAGGGCCGGGAACGCTGGAATGCTCAGTCCGGCGGCAAGCAGGACTGCCGTCCTCCTCAGTGGGCCCCGGCCTTTTCTGGGCGCCTGGCCACTCTCCCGGTGCAGGTGCTAACAGCACAGTGAGGGGACCCCAGGACCATGGGGCGGGGGGCGTTGGGCAGAGCAGGAAAGCACAGCAGGACTTACAGGGTTTCTTGGGATCTGTCTTTGAATTAAAGATCAGCCCCCAGATCCAGACCACGTCCAAGACAGGGATTCACATTCAGTCAAGCCCCTGGTGGCGCCAGGTCCTGGGTCCCCTGGCCCGCTTAACCCCACCGAGCCTGGGGTGCAGGGGCGAGGCGAGCAGGCAATGAGCCTCCAGGATGGCAGTGCCTTGGGTGTGTTGGATGGCCCCAGCCCTCACGCTGATCCCCGCCCTCCATCATCCAGTTGGGGTGGTTGGCGGACTGTCAGAGACAAATCATTCAGCGGCCGTGGCTCTGAGTGGTGTCCTACGCCCTGGGGTCGAACGGCTGTTACAGAGCTGTGGTGCTGCCTGGTCCCTCCGTCCCAGGGCTCAGGGTTGACAGCATGAAAGGGAAAAGCGTCATGGCCAGAGCTCCCTGACACCCTCCAACCTTCATCGGGGCGGGGAGAAAGGCCCGGCTGGTGGCGGCCTGCTGCGGGCTGGGGCGAGGGGCCTCTTCGGGGAAGGCTCACCCTGCCATGGGGAGCACAGTGGCTTCCTCGGGCGCCGTTGGCAGGTTTAAGCCACAGATACCCGAGACACAGGGGCGGGAAGGAACAAAGGCGGACGTGAAACAGAACAGGGGTGTGGGAGGAGAGAGTGGGGCTATGGCCTCCCCTTCGGAGGTGCCCGGGGACGGGCTTGGGTGCCGAGCTGCTTGGCAAACGGCTAGATGGTGGGTCCCTTGAGGGCGGGTTGAAAGGCAAAGCAGGCGGCGATGCGGTCTAGATGCCTCCAACCCGCTCTGTAAAATGCTCAACAAACGTCCCAAACGAAAGGAAGGAATAGGGGGCAGAGGCCGCAGAGAAACGGGGATTCCTGTTCAGTGGTCTCCCCCTCTCCCCGACCCCCCAGTGGGGGCAGATCCCTGCCGGCTTTGCGCCCGCCATGCTGAGGAGCGAATGAAGGAAGGAAGGAAGAAGTGAACGAGTGAGTGAAGGAAGGAACGAGTGAATGCCTGCCCGGGTCGCGGCTCCGCTCCGGGCTCTGTCCTGCTGTCTTTGCTCGGATGGCTATGCGGCGCTGGTGCTCTGCGGGGACGCACAGCCACGCGGGGCTCACTCTGACCCGCCCGTGACACACTTCTGTCCTCGGTCGATGCCGAAGCGCACAAGGACGCCGGATCCGACCTGGAAGCGGTGCCCACAGATCGTTCTCAGAACGGCGAGACAAAGGGTGATGTGCACACGTGAGCACTTACAGGACTTGGAAGGATGTTTCAAAATGGCGTCAGGATAGTTCCCGACACACGGACGGCGCTGCACAGTCTTCCCCGAACCCTTGTGAGAAGCAGACCCATTGTCGCGATCGGAGCGGCCGTGACGTGGCCGTGACGTGGCCGTGACGTGGCCACGCCGCCGGCTTCCAGCGCCCCCTCCCTCCCTGAGCCCTCTGCCTCGCACCGGCCTAGGTCTCGGACCCCCGCCTCCGTCTGGCCCGGCCGGGGTGCCCAGGCGGCCGCGCGCGCTCCTGCCTGCAGTTGGCACCACTGGGATGAGAGAAGACACAGTCGCAGGGCTCTCCGTGGACCCCCAGCTGCAGACGCCCCCAGACCACCCCCCGGCACACACCTCACGCATGTTGCTCTCCGTCCGGCGGCCTGGTCACTGACGGGTCTGGGGAAGAAGCCGGGCTCCCTGCTGCTAGGCCTCTCTCTGGACCGGGGGCCCCGCTCCTGCCCTCGCGGAGGGGATCGCCGTCACGAGGGCCAGCTCTGCTAACGCGGGGTGTGGACACTCTCTCCTACACCCACACAACTCTCTCCACACGCCTGAAAAATGCTCCTAATGAGGAGGCTGGGAAAGGGAGCCTTTGGAGGGCGCCGAGCAGAGCCTGGCTTTCCCGGGACGGGGTCGGGGTGAGCCTGCAGTGCTGGGAGCAGAGGGGCCTGCCAGGTGCCCGCCACCACCCCCGTCCTCCGAGCTCCTGAAGAATACCACCTGCCCCAGCTACCTGCGCATCTCACCTGGGGCAAGAGGTGACTCTTACTCCTGCTGGGGATGTGGCCGGGCAGCCGGATGTTGAAGAGAGCCTGGAGGGCAGCCTGAGCCGCCTGGCCCTTGGCCAGCTTCTTGCTGCGTCCCGAGCCTTCGAACGTCCTGCCGTCCACGCACACGGCCATGACGAAGCTCTTGGCGCGCTGCTTCTCGGCCGGCTCCGCGAGGCACACGTAGCGCAGGCCGGAGCGCAGCTGGTTCAGCACGACCACGGGGTTCCTGTCACCCAGGGCCACGGGGCCCGGCCTGGGTCTGTCCGGCCGCGCCGGGCCCACCAGGTCCAGGGGGTGGCAGAGCAGTCGTCCCCTCCGGCAGGCGGAGGGCAACAGCCCGGCATCGGCGGGGCGGCGGCCCGCGAAGGCCTCGCCAGGGGCGGCCGGCTCGAACTCCTTGAACAGCGTGTCGGGGAAGTCGGCCTGGTCCGAGGTGAAGTCCGTGGACGGGCCGGCGCCGCTGCCCATGGCCAGGTGGGCCTGGCAGGCATTGGGGAACTGCACGAAAGACCTCAGGGCCAGCTCGGCTGCCCGCATCTTGGCTTTCTTCTTGGTGGGCCCCGTGCCCTCGAACGTGAGCCCGTTCACCTCCACAGCCACGGCGAAGACGGGGGCGTGCACCGGGCCGGTCTGGGACACCATGCGGTACTGCAGGCCCGGACGCAGGTCGTGGAGCTGTACCAGCGCGTTCTTGGGCGCCACGGACCACGAGAGCTTCTTCCAGATGAGCTGCACCTTGCATAAGTGGCCGCCGTTGCCCTCCTCCAGGGGCCTCTTCCTCTTCACGCCGGGCGCACCACCTCGGGCCCCGTCACCGGCGGGCAGGGGCCGGGCCTCCAGGTTGCTCACGTTGCGGTTTTCCTTCACGTCGGCGCTGCTGATACCTGCAGGTGAGAAAGACAGCCGTGACCCCGGGCACTGGCAGCTGACGACGGCACTGCTGGGCCGCAGACCGGGCCTCGGCGCACGCGAGCCCGCCACCAGCACGGCCCGCCAGCCAGGGAGGCAAGCTCCGGGCGGGCACCTGCGGGGAGACCTGGGGAGCAGCACCCCAGAAGTGGGGCCGCTTGCCCGGAGGCGGGAGGACCCGCATTCCTGGGCAGCTCTTGCAGAGACGCATTTCTGAGACGGAGGTGTTGGGGGGCGTGTGTGGGGCGCACGGCCCCCTGCGTGTTGCTGCTGTCTCCTGCCCTGGGCACCGGCTGTGGTGGGTCAGGGCTGAGGCCAGCCGCCTGCCCTGAGCCTGGGCAACCCTCAGCGTTGCCCCAACCAAACGGACAGGCGGCCCTGTGCCCCCAACAGCTGTGGGCAACGCTGAGGTCAGGGAGGCCTTTCCCGCCGGGGCCGGTGGGGGGTGAACGGTGGTGTCCTCATACAACAGACTGCTACGTGGCACTATGTTTAACGAGCCACATCTGTGTGTGTCAACGTGGATGAACCTCAGGAATGTGCTAGACGATGAAAATAATACGTAGACCAGGATATCGTTAGTTCAAATCATACGGACACAGACATTACAGATTGTTGGTGTAATCACACGCAGGTGGTAAAGATTCAAGGTGTTCCTACTTCCCCCAAGACACAAGGAGGAAATTGCATGCGGGCTCAGGGGGCCGCTTCCTTGGTGTCTGTGATGGTTCCTTCCGTCCTTCCTTTTTTCCTTCCTTCCTTCCTTGGCAAGAAATGATACGAAGTAAATTTAGCAAAACCATCCTTTGCTAACTGTAGGTGGAGGATGCATGTAATGATAATTTAACTTCTGTGGCCTGGCCATCTTGGACTGCTCGTGGCTGATGATGCTGTTGTTTTTAGGCAATCTCAGGCGTGGATGACTTGGGGACCACGGGAGTCCCGATTGCTCTGCAGGTGAATGTGCTTCTGGGGCGCTGACCTCTCAGGTCTCCGCTGAAATCCTCCGAGGGTGTCAGTGGTGAACGGTGCAGGTGCCTTTCACAGAGCCTCCCTCAGACCTTCTTATTCCTAAAATCCAGCCTGCGTGGGGATCACAGCACCATGTTCGAGAAGAAACAAGGCTCAAAGAGGGAACCGGTTGATCCGGGCTTGTTGGTCGAGATGGGAGTGTCCCGGGAATGTTCGCGGCTGCTGTAAACCTGGCTTTACAGAAGCAGAATAGTCCCATCATTTTCTTGGCTCCTTTACAGGGACACCCTGTGCTGGGCTCTGGGAGGCGGTGAGGATGCTGAGCGCAGTCGGCCCTTGGTTCGGACAGACGTGGGAGGCGAGGTGGCCGCCCAGGGCCAGGCGGGGCCCATGCAGAAGTCCCCGGCAGTCGGGAGTGAGTTTGTTCTCATTAAGCACGTGGAAGCTTGGGGCTGATCCCGTGGCTCCTGAACAGCTGTCGTGTGGGCGCCCCTCAGTCCTGTGCGGAAGCCGGGCAGCGGTGAATGCGGCAGACTCCGTGACCTTGCCCTCGTGGTGTTGCGGCAGAGAATCTAATGGAGATGTGCAGCGTGTCAGCGCGGAGAGGTGCCCTCTCTGGGGGATGCGCCCTAGGGGACGTGTTCTCCGACTGAGGAACCCCAGCCGCTCACCGCGAGCCCGTTGGCTCAGTTGGCATTTCCTCCAGCAGTTTGCTTCCATACAGTGTTAGGTTTGTGGAGGTAACTGTTCAAAGGCATGATGCAGAGGGTTTTATAAGTTAGAGGTGGATGGCATTCATTTACAGACTATTTTAGCAGAAATAATTACCTTCCAAATATCAAGCACTTAGTCTCTGCCTCCTTTGTTAATGATTATGCGTCTTGGGCACAGGTAGCAAGGAGCTCTGCCGGGGGCGGAGTTTCAGGCCGAGAGACAGTGGGTCAGATTAACCATGCAGCCTCTCAAATTGAATGTGAAGATGAGAAAAAAAATCCAACCCAGCCAAAAAGCCCCATTCTAGATTGCGTTCGAAACTGCTGGGTGTGCTCCAGTTTCTTACTGATTTCCCACAGGGTGGGGACTGGTGAGACTGGTAGCAAGAGTGAGGTGGCCAGCATCTCGGATGACCTTTTGAGGTAGAAAGGGTTGTCTTGCAGGAAGAGCCCTTGCAGGCCGACCCCTCTCTTCCCTGACTCCCAGCGCCCACGGCTGCCCTCGATACCATTGTCCGTGACACCAGCCATGGTTATCTCTGATAACCACGCCGGCCCAGGGCAGATGACTTCAAGCTCCATTAGACAGATACCACAGACCGGGGGCCAGCAATTTGGAGACCGCCAGGCACGGAGGAGCAGGGGCATGAAGGCCCCTTCCGTAATAACCAACAATGAATAATAATTGATGAAAAAAGTGGGCTTCTGGGCCCTATCCCGGGTACACGAGCCACAACCTCTGGGTTTGGAAACTCGCAGAGTGGGGGTTCGGCTGGCATGCTCTGTTTAACTGGCCTGTGGGGTCCGAGCGTGGCCGGCCGAAGCTGTAGGAGGCAGACAGGGCAGTGGTCACCCCACCAGCTCGGGGCTCCAGCACACAAGACGTCAATGTCCCCCCTGCCTCTCAGGTGCGTGTGACCAGGGGCAAGTCCCTCCATACGCCCAAACTCTACTTTCTCAAAATGGCAAATGTGGGTTTTAACGGCACTTGCCCTATGAGATTATTCTGAGCTTGAACTAAAGGAGCATCAGGAAGAGGCTCAGCCCAAACCCAGACATACAGGAAACACATCTTTTTGAAAATAGCAGGAACGAGAGAGGCAGACACTGCTGAGCTCTTCCTTGCTGAGTTTCCCCTGGAATTTGGGACCCCCCAGGAGGCAGGGTAGCAGCGTCTGTCCTGTCACATGGCGCGGGCTCCAGGCTGTCCTGAGGCCGGGTCTGAGCGCACCCCTCTGTCATGAGCCTGTGGGCCCCAGAGTGCAACACAAACACACCGTGCGTCTCTCCCTTTCAGTCAGCGTCAGAGCTTCTGAGAGTCAACAGCCATCCCATGGGAGAGACGCGCACGGTGACTCCCGGTCCCCAGGGGACAGACGGCGAGGGGACGGATGGCGAGGGGATGGGAGGCTGCCTCGCGGAGCAACCCCACCCACGCCGCAGCTCCAGCACTGCTTAGAGATACATGGGCCGTGTCTGGAAAACCACGCGCCACTTTGCCAGGTCCGCCGTGAAAATCCAACACCAGTTTGCGGGACTTTCGCTGCAGCGATCCCACGTGAATTTCTTATGGGACTCCAGCTCCGACTTCACAAAGTCACATTTCCTTCTTCCTCAGGGAAGGGGGTCCTTCGCAGTCCCTTCCCCTGACCACTTTGTTCTCCACTAGTTAATAGGCTTCCGTTCTCTGTTGTCAGAATGATCCAGAGGTGAGAGTCAGGAGGCCACGCTGCCCAGGACCTGCGCCGCACATGCTCCCTTGGGTCTGGGCCCTGAGGCATCCAAGCACACGGGGCTCCTTTCCCAGCACAAGCTTCGGCTCCTGGGCCCCGTGGGTCACCCCTGAGGTGGGAGGGGGACGCAGATTGTCCTCATCCAAGGAGAGCAGGACCTGGTCTGCCCTGGGGGAGTCACCCCTCAGGCACGTCGCTGATCTTGAACCCTTTATCCTGTACATGGAGGCAGCCAGATGTGGACAGCAGGCTCCCAGCATCTGGGAGTTGTCCGGGAGCTCACCTCCGGTGCTGACCCCGCAGCCATGCACTTCTCGCTGGCCTTCTCGGGGGGCCATCCCCAGGCCTCACGGGCGGCGTGAGCACCAGCTCATCTGGGAACCGCAGGAAAGCACGCTGACAGCTGAGTGGTGCGCACAGAACCCACCACACGGGGGCTGCTGTGCGGCTCAGGGCAGACAACCCGTGAAACTTTCCACGTGATCTGTAAACGGTGATCCGTGAGCGCCGCAGGCTTCCAGGCCGTGTGCTTCGTGATGACTGATCACGGCCACCGTGGAGGTGGCGGTTGCCCCTGCCTTGAAGGGTCTGAGAGAAGATCAGTGGCCCCCATCTGCCTGGACTTGCCCTGGGTCCTGGGGTGCAGGACTTGGCACGAGAATGTTTATTACGTGATAAAAATGACTTGTTTCTGAAAATGTATTTGTTGTACATTTGGAACAGCTCAAACGGACGGGTCATACTAGGTTATGAGAATTAGTGAGTCCTTTAATTCTACCCTGGAATTCGTTCTCCCAAATAATTGCTTTGCTTGCCAGTCATAACTCAGGGACTTGCAGTCGGTCAGGCTTGCAGCAGCTCGGCCAGAAACTCACGTCCCCGTAGGGGGTCGGACGGGGGACTCTCTCGTCAGGTCAGTTGCACCTTGAGGTGCGTTTACGGGTCTGCCTGTCCCCCCCACTTTTTCTGTGTCTGCGTGTGTGGGTGCACTCAGCGCGCGGACGTCAGCCTGCGGGCGAATGGTAGGCAGCAGAACCGGGGCTGATTGATCGGGGGCCCAGCGGCTCCCACCACCCCAGGGAGCCCCCATCCATGGCTCACGTCATGTTGGAGAATTTCTGACTTGGATTCCAGTGCCTTCCTTGGCAAAGCCCAGTCCCGAGGAAAACACGTGCAGGTGCCCTGAGCGTCCACGCCGGCCCAGGGCGAATTCCCTCATCCTCCCGGCGTCGAACACCAGACACCCTCAGACTGCGGCTTCTGCGACTCAGACAGTCGCACGTGTCCTTCATTGCGGAAATTAGAGAAAAAGCAGGCAGATGACTTCAAGCTCCATTAGACAGATACCACAGACCGGGGGCCAGCAATTTGGAGACCGCCAGGCACGGAGGAGAGTATCTACGGCAGAGCCACGTGCGGGAGAACATAGAGCAACTGTTCCATTCTGCTCTCTCACACATCGATCCATCTCCAGAGCCCGTGACTGCATTCTCCTGTTTGGCAAAAAGTGTCAGCAAAAGCGGTGCTATGTTTACCAATGCATGAAAGAATTGCATTTTAGGGAGAAAGAGCTGGATTTTGGGGCACCTGGGTGGTTCAGTTGGTTAAGCGACTGCCTTCGGCTCAGGTCATGATCCTGGAGTCCCGGGATCGAGTCCCGCATCGGGCTCCATGCTCGGCGGGGGGTCTGCTTCTCCCTCTGACCCTCCTCCCTCTCATGCTCTCGGTCTCCCATTCTCTCTCTCAGATAAATAAATAAAAAATCTTAAAAAAATAAAAAAAAATTAAAAAAATAAGATTTTATTTATTTGGGCGCCTGGGTGGGTCAGTTGGTTAAGCGACTGCCTTCGGCTCGGGTCATGATCCTGGAGTCCCTGGATCGAGTCCCGCATCGGGCTCCATGCTCGGCGGGGAGTCTGCTTCTCCCTCTGACCCTCCTCCCTCTCATGCTCTTTGTCTCTCTCATTCTCTCTCTCTCAAATAAATAAATAAAATCTAGGAAAAAAAAAAAAGAAAGAGCTGGATTTTACATTGGCGTGGCTGTGGCTAAAATTTTACTTTCCAGGTGAAATATATCCTCCCAGACTTAAGTCCAGTTAGCAGGCTGCACTTGTGCATTGGCGGCCATCCTGCAAACGTGGGCGGGCCACATGGAGGGTGAGGTCCTGTGGTCTCAGGGCCGTCGGCTCCGGCGAGCGCAGGCAGCATGTGCGAGCCCGTCTATCACGTGTGTGCCTCACCCCCCTCCGCCGTCCCCTTTCTGGGGCCAGCGTCTGTCTGGTTATTAGGCAGCCAGACTTCTCCAACTAGTCACGTCTGCTCCGCATGGCCGATAGTGATGCAGCCGTGGCCTCAGGTGGTAGGGCACCGGGGACCGGCCATCTGATCTGCCCCATTTGCATCAGATGGGGGCTGACAGGACTGAGGCCAGTGGCCTGGAGTCTCCTTTCACTCTGGAGGGAGGCCCTGGTGCTTGGCAGGTGAGCAGTCGCCTGGGAAGGGGGTCCGCTGAGGCACAACCACGCCCTGGGAACACCGAGAGGCCACGTGGGCCGGCTGACTCGGGCTGCAGAAGTGCAGGCCTGATTCCCGGCAGCAGGCAAAGGTGCCTCCTTTCGAGGACGTGTCCCACATGGTCCTGGATGTGGTGTCTGACCCATGTCTGGGTGAGGATCAAGCGGGTGTGGTGGGCCGGTCTCCCTCCCTCCAGACCACAGCTCGGGGAGTGACCCCTCCTCGGGTGACCTGGGTCAGCAGTAGGCACAGCGGTGATGGCGCTGGGGCAGTGACTCACTCTCTCTCAGCATTTAAGGAGAAAGCTTTCAGAGTTGCCCACTTGAGCAGAAGTCTCAACAACCTGGCGCTGTCCAGGAGACCCTGGAAACCCACCCCATTGATGGCTGGCTTCCAAATGGGCTCCCAGGCTGAGTCTCTGGTCACTGACCCCTGACACCAGCTCTGCCCTTGGCATTGGGAGCTCAGGCTCCAGGGACGAGTGGCGGTGAGTGCCAGTGGCCACGGGGGAGCCCGCTGATGGTCCAGAACGTGCTCCACACGGGGCGGGCAGAGCACCTCCATGTAGCACCAGCCCAAACACACCCAAGTCAAAGCCACAGTCGCTCCTTCCAGCCCACCCTTCCCCCCTGCACATGGCACACACACCCTGCTCACCCGCTCTCTTCTCCCACCTTCCGAGGGTGCTTGGATTGCTAATGGCCGAGACCGTGTGGGTAGACTAGGAGAAGCTGAAGACGGGGCATTGATGGGAGGTTTGTCTTTGAACAGTGTTTGAAAATAGGGTTTTCTAAGTAAGGATTTTCCAAGCATTGCAAAGGCTTTCTAACATGTAACAATTCAAAGTCGTTCTTCTCTGTAGGTTTCCACCGATTGGGGGAAATAGCCAACTTGTGCGTTTGCTCTCTTCCAGGTCCTTGGTAGCCGTCTTCACGCATTGTCCTGTTGGATTCCGATCTCAACTGTGGGATTCAGTTTATGCACACGAGGCGCTGGGGCTCCTGGCTCGGGCTTGCGGGAGCAGTGGCGGCGAGGTCTCACCCCACACTGGGCACCTACCACGCTCAGCAGGGTCCCAGCCCCTCAAGGGGGGAAAGAGGAGGAAGCAGAGGAAGATTTTCTTTCTCGATGTGTTTATTCCAGGTGTTTTATCAAAGCGCTTTGCATGCACATCCAGTTCAGCTTGGGGCACGTGTGCGTGCGTGCTTAGAATTGGTTGATGTGTATATGTACACACGTGTGTGTGTGTGTATTCCACATTTCTGAAGTGGCTATCAATAGGACCCCCACCGGGTCCTGGAGGTTTTCCCGCTTAGACCCTGAGACAACAAAAACGAGCATTTGCCCAACTTCTCTGAGGAGGGAGCCCCGAACGGGTGGCCCAGAGACCCGCGTTCTGATTTCTGTGGGGACTTTGTCCCCATCCCGCGCAGGGGGTCTGCTCTGGTTCTGAGGCACCACGACTCTGTGACTTTGATTTGTGCAGTGACACAGGCTCGTGCCCTCAGCCTCCAGTCCTGTTGCTGGCCGTGCATCTTACTAGCCAATGGCAGGGTGGCCAGCACTCCAGTGCGGGTCCCCCCACCACGTGCCCTGGTCAGAGTCCTGGTGAGCTCCTGCAAGCTCCCTGCTCTGGGCAACGAGCACAGTCTGCACCATCTCACTGGGCGGAAGGTGACCCAGCTGTGAGGTAATACTGAAATGCAGGAGAGATCTGTGTGGTTTGGGGGTTGAGAGCATGCTGGACACGTCCAGGAACCCCCCACACCAGCCCTGCCCCCCAGGGGGCCCCTCACTGGTCTCAGCAGGGGGACCAGCGTTTCCATCCCCGCACCACACTGCTTTGGGGCTTCCCCGGTTCCCTTCAGGAGCCAGAAATGTTCCAACAGGCAGGCACCCATCCAACTCCGTCCTTGTTAAATAGTTGTACAAACTGTGTTCATTTTCCTCCGTTCCTCCCCCCTCCCTCCCCCTGCCTCCCTTTCTCCCTCCCTCCCTTCCTTCCTTCCTTTTGAAGGGAAAAACAAAGGAAAGAGAGGAGAGGAGTTCAAGAAAACTGATTTTTCCCTACAATCTTTGGAGTTCTCAATTATAGAGTCGCTGCTAATATTTTCCTACTATCCAGATGGGGATGGGATTCCAGGTGGGGACGGGGTTTCAGGTAGGATAGGATTCTAGGTGAGGATGGTATTTCATGGCAGGGAAGGGATCCCTGGTGGGGACGGGATTCATGTTGGGGATGGGGTTCTGGGGGTGGAGGGACAGGAGCAGAGCCTCCTGCTCGGTGAAGCCCAAATAGTCCCCACCATCACCCCAAGGGTCTCAGTGTTTGGGGACAGTAGAGGACCCCCCCTGCGCATGGGGCCGGGACCCCCTCCACTCGACAGGGAAGGGAAACTGCTTACTTAGATTGTCTTCGTCCTCCGTGTTTGTGGCCCCGGGGCTTAAGTGCTTGAAGGGAGCGATGAAAGCTGACAACATGCTTACTTTGTCTGGAAAGAAAAGAAGAACAGGAAATGCACTTTTGACACCGAGTTTCAAAAAAACTCAATGCTTTCCTATGTTCTTATTACTGAGGGTTTGGACAAGGGAGTTTGAAAGCTTGTTTTGGTTTCAGCCACTTCATTCTGGTTCAGTCTTTTATTGAATTTCTGACAGCATTTTTATCAAACTCCTCTCTCCATTCAATTTTCAACTTTATGATTTCCATCTTTCTTCTTTTCTCATTTTTGGCATCTCCCCTCCTCTTGTTCTGTGTCCCTCAAAACTCAAAGCGATCGTCTCCAGGGCAAGAACCTTGCGTGAACTCATAGGATGCTGGGTGGGGCAGAGCCTGGGACCCAGGGCATTTCATAGAGAAGAAGTGAAGCAAGTAAAAAAAAAAAGCCATAATTAAATGAGAATCGTGCAGAAAAAGCCAAGACCTTTTCTCCCCGTGAGCGGAGAACTTGCTTTGTGGGCTTGAACAAGGATGTAGAAATCAGTCAGCGGGCAGCTGGGCAGTGGGAGAAGTGGCGGCGCACGATGGGGGAAGGGGTGCGGGGGGAGGCCCCCTCCGTCCCTCCTGCAAATGGGCGCGCGACGAAGCAGGGACAGGAGCCCGGGAGAGCGCCCTCCACTTACCCTGCTGCGGGGGAGTGAGGCAACACCTGTCCCGAGTCAGCCCGGGGTGGGGCACTGGACCCAGGGCAATGCTGCTCATAACCTACAGTCCCCACAATCTCTCTCTTAAACGGAAAGATTGGGGAATTGTGGGATGGGAATGCACTTGGGAGACATTGAAAAAGGACTAATAAAGGGGCCAAAGGAAAAGCTCCTTTCTGTAGAGATTCCACCGACTGAATCCAACCTCAGAAGCTGGGAGCACTTGTCCAAAGAGGAACCTAGTCCAGGGCAGAGGAGAGCACGTCGAGGGATGGCACATGCAGGCCTCCCCGTTCTCGGATGCCCGCCTGTCCCCGTACGGTTCCTGGTGGTTCTCGTGGCTGGCCTGGCCCGCGGGGGCTGAGCTACTTTGCCACGGGACACTCCCCGCCTCCAGGAATCCGTTGGCACCGGAGGGCCGAGTCTTTGGTGGCTCCCATGCCATCGTCTGCTTCTGTCCTCGGGAAGGGGGACTGCTGACTCGTGGGGCTCCCTCTTTGTACACATCTAAGTGTGACTTTGCGTGAAAACCTCAGCTAGTGGTTTTATCTGCAGTTAGCCTTCAGGCGTTCAGACCCGGGCCTGAAATGTGCTCTTTTTCTTTCAATTCTGAGCCTGTTTTCTCTTTACCCAAGCTTTCCAGAGGCCAGGGGAGTTCACATTGAAATTCATTCAGGAGCCTGTTAACAGCTGTTGTTTCCAGTAGGGACGGGCAATGATATAATGTTCACTCAGAGAGAACAATAAATAACTCAAATATAAAATGCCTCTCTTTCTTCATTCTACGGAACGAGAAGAATAAGCCAGGGAGGGACTGGCTCTCCCAAACCCTCACAACCCAAGCTAATTTACTACAAGGGAATGAAATCTCTTGCTTGAGTTATAATTTCATTAAGGGTGCCCAATAATGTTACACAAGGAATGTGAAGCTCAAATGATTTAGTCTGGAGCATCTCAAAATGAAATTACATTTTTCTAATAAAGCAGGGCTACCAGCCAAACACCCACAAAAATACACCAAACCATTTCAGAGCTCACCTTAGCAAGACTGCAAAATATTTAAAGATTGTTTTAGATCCTCAAAGTTCTTGCTTTCTGGGGTTGCCAGATTTATCAAATAAAAACACCAGACACTGAGTTAGATAAACAGCAGATACTTATTTAGTATATATAAATCTCCAGCATTGTGTGGGGCACGCCTATACTGAAAAATTGTCCAGTCTATCTGAAATCCAGATTTAAGGCAAAGGACTTGAATAGACGTTTCGCGAGGGAAGGCATACAGACGGCCAGCAGACACACTCACCAGCAGAGCAGCGCAGATCAAAGCCGCACTGGGCCACCACCTCACACCCATCGAATGGCCGCCATAAAGAAGCCAACTAGGCAGTGGGTTGGTGAGGTTGTGCAGGGGTCGGCGTCCTTGTGCACCGACGGAGGGAGCGTGAGACCAGCATGTCCACGTCTGCGTCTACACCCAAAAGCATTGAAAGCAGGGTCTCACAGAGATACCTGCACACCTGTGTTCACAGAAGCTAAAAGCAACCCGAGTGTCCACTGACAGATGAATGGACAACACAGTGTAGCATATGCACACCATGGAATATTACCCAACATGGATGGACCCTGGGGCCATGATGCAGAGTGGAATAAGCCGGTCACTAGAGGACAAATATAGTGGGGTCCACTTATCTGAGGTCCCCAGAGGAGTTAAATCCATAGACAGAGAAAATGCAATGGTGGGATCCAGGGGCTGGGGGATGAGGGGCCAGAGTTTCAGTTCGAGAAAATAAGAAGGTTCTGGATGGTGGTGATGGTTGCACAACAATCTAGTATAGTTGATGCGACTATACTATATGCTTACAAATGGTCAATATGGCAAATTTTACCTTCTGTATGTTTCACCACGATTTAATAAGTCACATTGAACGGGACGCTCAGGATTTTATCTGAACCCTACCTCTTTTATGCCCTAGCAGCTCCTTCAGCATAGTGGAGTTTGGATTTCCAGCTCAAACACACCAACCCGCTCAGAGCAGGACATCTAGGGAGCTGCCTGCCTGTTTGCTGGGCGAGCCCACCCGGCTCTCTGGTTGTTTGCCCACCGTCACTGCCCCTGTACGAAGAGGAGGAAGGCTGCAGCCTTAGCACGTCGTTAGGAAGGACTGCGAGGATTGCATTTTTGGTTTGGAAAAACTGCAACACAAATGATTGGCTGTCAGCGGCTTGTTGGCGGCTGTCCCCTCACGCACGGTGTCTGCGTGGCGCTGCGCTGGGTTGGTTCCATCTGAGCACCCAGCTCGCACTGTCCTCTGGTTCACCACAGTCCCGAGACTGGGCTCGTGCAGGTTCCTGATGGGAAATGGAGGCTGTGCTTCTACTCTACTCAATTCTGGACGTTTGGGGTATGCCGAGAGAAGCTGGCTCATGGAATTCCCCGTGCTCCCGGCTGCCCTCCACCCCTGTTGTCAAGTCTGGAGGAAGGAGAAGGTGTTTCTCTAGGGCAAGTATCTGGAAGGGATGCTGGGCACACACTGCACCAGCTGGAAACGGAAACAGCAGGGGTCCTGGGCTGGCCGTGGTGCTGGGTGCGCCCGGGGCTGCCCTGGATCCAGCCAAAAGTCACTTCCAGGGAAGGCCTGGTGGTCACCAGCATAGCACAGCATTCCTAACGCACCTCCTGAAGTGATCCAGGACATTTGCATCAGAAACCTCACTGCTCTTTGCAAAATAAATGGCCAGGGCCCCGTGGGAGTAATTTTGTGTATTTCCAGAGCATGTGGGAAGCACTTTCAGAGGGCAGAAGCTCTTCCCTGGAACCATGTGAGATCACATTCATTGAGGATATTGATAACCAAGAACAAACACAATTTGGGAGTGGCCTAAAGACAGATAAATAGGCCCGAGCGAAAAGGAGCATTTGGGAATAGAATCATACCCATATGATCAATCGATTTTCTTTTCTTCTTTTTTTTATTCTTATGTTAATCCCCATACATTACATCACTAGTTTTAGATGTAGTGTTCCATGATTCATCGCTTGTGCACAACACCCCGTGCTCCATGATCAATCGATTTTCAATGAAGATCTCAAAGTAATACGATGGGGCGAAAGAAAAGTCTTATTGGGAAATAGTGTTGAAAGAACTCTACACTGGCTTGGGAAAAGTGAATTCTGAGCTCTACCTCATACCATACCTGAAAATTGTCACAAAATGGGTCATAAACCCAAACGTAAGAGCTGTAACGATAAAACTTGTGGAAGAAAATACGAAGATTTTCATAATGCTCATGGAGGCCGATTTCTTAGGATATAGAAGGCACTCATTGTAAAGAAATTAGTTTTCATCAAAATTAAAAATTTCAGCTCACTGAAATACAGTTAAGAAAACAAAATGCAAGCCGCAGATTGGGATAATAGATTTATGATCAAGACAACTGATTTGTCTCCAGAATATAAGAACTCTGCCAACTTAATAATAAAAGGGAAAAAATCCAAATTTTAAAAAATGGGCAAAATACGTGAACAGAAACTCGACAAGGGAGAATATGCAGAAGCCAATAACAAGCACACCCGAAGCGCTCCACAGCATCGCCCATTAGGGAAACACAAATTAAGATCACAAGCCTGTCAGGACACACCCATTGGAACAGCTAAAACTTTATCCATTACAGCTCAAAATTAGGAACATCCTGCATACCCATCAAAAGAAGAATAGTTACGTGAATTGTGCTACATTTGTAGGATGGGAAATTATCAGCAATGAAGACAATTGAATATTAAAATATTAAAACATTAAAATATATTACAATATGGATGAATCTCGAAAACATTATACTGAGCAAAAAAAAAAAAAAATCTAGACACAAAAAAGAAGGTGCTAAGTAATTCCATTTGTATGAAGTTCCCCAACAGGCAAACTGCTCTCTGGGGAGAGAAGTCGGGAGGGGGGCCTCCTGGGTCAGTTGCCGGCTGCGGGCTGGCCCAGGGGGATTCTTTCTGGAATGATGTGTTACATGTGTGTACCTGTTTGTCACGGGCCATAGCACGTGCAGGATATGTTTCTCCATATGTAAATTACACTTAGTCATTTAAAAATATTAACAGATAAAAAGCATGACTGGATGAGAAAATAAACGATGTGAAGCAAGCATCAAACTATTGTTTCATATGAAAGGAAAAATGCAGGATGGCCGATGGTGAAGACAGGTGTCTACTAGCGAGCAGAGACGGTATGCAGTGTGGCACGCGCGCAGGCCTTGTGGCTTTGTTTTTGCTTATTCTATAAATTGGAAAGCTCAAATATCTCTCAGAAGCTCTGCTGTGGCAACAAGTACAGTCACTACCTCAAAGGGGAAGACCTTTGGAGACGCCCCCGGATTCCCATCAGGACGAGCGCATGTCTGGAGAGCAGGGGAGAGCCGGCTGGGGGAGGGGAAGTGAAGGCCACAGCAGGTGCACGGGGAGCCCAGCACGCACGCCGGGCCAGCCCACGAAAACTCTGCTTACCCACGGCGGTGGCATGAGGGGCTGAGCAGGGGTCCTGTTTTTTGGAGCCTGTTTTGTGAAGACGATGTTTGCCTTTTTACCAAGTAAGATGGAAATTTAAAAAAGTCTTCGGGTGGGGGCGCCTGGGTGGCTCAGTTGGTTAAGCGACTGCCTTCGGCTCAGGTCATGATCCTGGAGCCCTGGGATCGGGTCCCGCATCGGGCTCCCTGCTCAGCGGGGAGTCTGCTTCTCCCTCTGACCCTCCTCCCTCTCATGCTCTCTGTCTCTCATTCTCTCTCTCTCAAATAAATAAATAAAATCTTTAAAACAAACAAAAAAAAGTCCTCGGGTGCATGAGCCCCTGTCAGTTACCTGGAAAGTCTGTTCATGTGAAATAACAGGTTTGCTGGAACTTTTAATAAACCCCGTAATTGCTAAAACCTGGAAGGATTGGACCTGGTACTCTGCCTCCTTAAAAGCACTCAATATGTCATAGCCTAGGTTGTTTGTAAAAGGCGCGTGAATTGAGCACTTGGGCTCTGCCGTCATTTCAACAATTTAAAGTTTTGTACGACTCATGTCTGCCTCGTAGGCCACACTCAGGCCCATGTCCCACACAGCCTCGCTCTCTGGGGCAGTTTTGTCCTTGGGGGAGAAGGTGACAGTTGGAAGCCACGGAACTCTGCCGGCGCCCCTGGGCCACGCACACCTCAGCCCCTCTCAAATCCCTTTCTCAGAGTCTCGTTTTGCCAAAACACGGTGTGACAGAAGGCCTCCCTCAAGCTGACCCACTTTGCTTGCCAGCCGTGTGTTCCGACCGGACGCAGGTACGTCTTCCTTTCGTGGATGTGGCTTCTAGCTAAACACAAACACACATCAGCCTGAACAGGCGGACCACCCTGGGAAGCGAGGACGTAATTAACCTCTATGCACGCAGGAGGAAAGGGATAAGGGTTTGGAGTAAAGGCAAAGAATTTTTCTCACGGAATTTCAGGAACATGTATTTTAAACACTGTTTTCAAGCTGCTGTTCTAGGATAAATACAAGGGAACTCAGGGTCTGCATGGAGTTTGCAGCACATGAGAAGGTCTGATGCTCACGAGAGGATGAGGATCTCTTTTGGCAATTTCCACATGGATAATAATAGTCACAAGTGGCCTTGAATGGGTTCCAGTAAGCAGGCGGCCAGCGTGCGGTCAGTATGCCGCTCATTCGCCATATGGGCTGAACTAAGGCTTCCCCGAAAATGTGTGCTGGAGCCCTGACTCCCAGGGCCTCAGAAGGAGACTGTATTGGAGACGGGGTCTTTAAAGAGGTGGCTAAGGTAAGATGAGGTCCCTAGGATGGACCTCAAGCCGGTCTGACTGGTGGCTTATAAGAGGAGATCGGGACACAGACACGCACGGAGGGACGACCACATGAGGACCCGGGGAGGGGACGGTGTCTGCAGGCTCAGGAGAGAGGCCTTGGGAGACCCCAGCCCTGCGCACGCCTGCACCTCGGGCTCCCAGCCCGCAGGATGCGAGGCAGTGAACTCTGGTGTGTGAGCCCCCAGGCTGGGGTGCTTTGGCACAGCGCTGACTAATACATTCACTCAACATAGCTTTATTGAATGCAAGTAGTTGCACACCTAATCCATGATTTCAAACTCTGCTGCCAAGAAGGACTAATGCAGGGAGACCGCTCGTGGCCAGGGGATCTAGAAGTCAGGTGGAGGCATCCTTCAGGAAGTGACTGAGTGGCTGAGACCCAACAGGTAACAGGAATGTGTCCCATGTATTGAACCAGGAGATCTGCTCCAGAGCCAGGAGACTCCTGCTGCAAGGATGAGTGTGGGATTGTCTAAGTTAGGGCGGGGAGGCCGCCCTGAGCAGAAGGGGCGGCTCGTGCAAAGGCCCTGGGTAAGCGCACCAGCATCTCAGCCTCTGAAACTGGGCAGCTCTGTCCAGGTGGCTCCCCATTACTGTGGGCATGGAACCCTGATTCTGAATCGGGGCCCCAGGGACCAGAGGGCAGCAAACATGAAACCTCTGGATTGTGACAGATGCACAGGAGGAAAGATCGGGGACACAGACAGACAGAGACACAGAGAGAGAAAGAAACAGGGAGAGAGAGATAGAGACAGGGAGAGAGAGAGAGAGAGAGACAGGGAGAGAGAGTCAGAGAGAGAGAGAGACGGGGAGAGGACAGAGAGAAATAGAGACAGGGAGAGAGAGATAGAGACGGAGAGAGAGTCAGAGAAAGAGAGACGGGGAGAGAGACAGAGATAGAGACAGGGAGAGAGAGATAGAGAGAAATAGAGACAGGGAGAGAGAGATAGAGACGGAGAGAGAGTCAGAGAAAGAGAGACGGGGAGAGAGACAGAGATAGAGACAGGGAGAGAGAGATAGAGAGAAATAGAGACAGGGAGAGAGAGATAGAGACAGGGAGAGAGAGTCAGAGAGATAGAGACAGGGAGAGAGAGAGATAGAGACAGGGAGAGAGAAAGAGAGACGGAGAGAG